TATTTTTCCCTTCCGAATATTGAAAACACTGTAACTGTTCATTTGTTTATTTGTTTATTGTTGTTTATATCTTATTTCTGACATCTATTTGAATCTCAACCGCTAAACAGGATGTTAGCATCCTCAAAGCCGCCATTTAAAGGGCGGTGATTGTTTCACAGCGCATGTGTAATATTTGTGTTTATAAACAATAATTTCCCACAATTCAGTGCGTTCTTCAAATGGAAATCACAAGTACGAGCTTAGACTTTGGCACAACATGCACTACCACTGGGAACTTTTTTGATAACTTCCAATCACAAAAAAATTACATTCAGTAACGTATCAGTTTGTACTCGTTGGTCTGCGCAACTGTCCAAGTTGCTGTCTTTGTTTATATGAGACCCATATCTCGCAAATGAGTGGTGGATGACCACCACCTTTCAACTATCGGTAAGTTGCATTTGTGATTTTAACCTTTTAACCGCCAGTTCCCTCTTTTCATCACAAATTCACAAAATTGTCCTGTTTATATTCTGCACTTTCCTTCAGAAGATTGGGAAAAAAATTATCAAATTTTGTCTGTTGGCTCCAAAATTAGAGTTCATTCCCAGAAATATTGAAGAATATATAAAAAGTACAGAAAAATTTGGACGAGAAGGTTTTGTGGTGAAAAAGTTAAGTCAGTTTTTTTTTACCTCATTGAGTTGTCCTAAAAGTTTAGCTCTCTGCGTGCAGGTATCTTGATACCCTACGATAAATACTACAACTTCCTGTTGGTATTTCTTCTTCAGTATTGCATCACCAATGATTCTTTCAAGTTCAATCTGAAAATAACATCAAAGAATTTAACTATACTAATACACCAAATTATTTTACATTTAGCATCGAAAGCAATAGAATTTGTATCTGCATTTGTTCAAAAATGTATCTTCAAGCATTCTAATGTTAAAATTTTCCCTTATTTGGGATACTGTAAAATAAACACTATACAGAACACCCAAAAAGTATTTTAAGTGAAAATTAATTTCAGCTAAAATAAAGTATTTTACAGTATACATATACTTTATTTCAGGGGGCAAACCACTAAGATGCAAACCATTATCTAGTAGGTGAGGCAAGACTGGAGTTCGAGGGGCAGATTATATGTTGTTTACCATATAGGTAATAGGTTATTGTTTTATCCTGTATTTTAGTTTCAAGTTTTCATTATAATTCCTTAATGATTTGTTTTCATCTACTAGTATATTTCGATTTTACCCCCCCCCCCCACTTAAAATTTTAATTTACCCCTAATATTGAGTAACCTTGAATACTGACATTCAAATAAATTTAGATACCATACCAGGTTGCCATGGCAGCAATCTCTAAATACCACGGTAACCTATATCAACACCGTTGATGGCAGGCTAAATTGCTGATGTTTTCAATAACTTGGGATAAATGCAATGGGTCACAAGAACAACTTGTAATAATGAATTATCAAATAAAAAAAAAAATATACAGAAAAAAAATTTACAATTATTAAACTGCACACTGAAAATAAATGGCAGAAAATGTGAAATAATGTGCAAACTTAAATTGGAAAACGATTCAAGCAAACTAATGTGTTTGTTTGTTTGTTAATACATTACTCACCAGGTCTGGTACCAGTATTGCAGACTTGTTGTTGTTTACATATTGTTCATTTAATTCAAACTCATTGATTGTCTGAAATAAATGGAAAATGAAAAAAAAATTAAATAATACAGCCCTGAAAGGAGGAATCTACTAATAGTTCAGTAAAAATGGCTCATAATCTTGGAAACTAGAAACTAGTCGCCAGGTCTAAAATAGAAGATGGATAAATGAAGACAATTTGAATAATACAGCCCGGGTAGGAATATACTAGTTGTTCCAATTCCATAGTTTCATGGCTCATAGTTTCGGATACTTTGGTTGCGAGGTTACCATGCCCATTAGTTACATACACCCATAGAATTAACAAAAAAAATTCCAGTGAACATATGCAGAGATCAAATACTGTAAGCTATTTTATTTTTCACTATTACACATTTTTAGGATTTGATGATTTCATGGTATTCGTAAAGATAAAATTTGACAAAGTTCATTAATTATTCCGTGTCAAAAAACATGAGATAAATTTCAACTGCTTACAAAATGTCATGATTTCAGCTTCAGTTTTTTACAGAACATGCCAGACATAGAAAATAAATATCCAAATTTGTGTGTCACAGTTCTTAGTTCTAAATTTTGTTTCATCATTTATTTCCCCCCAAAAAAACAATTCCAATAACAGTTGGAAAATTTAAAAAAAATGTGAAAATACATCACTTTTTAGAAAATAATTTTACCATTTTACTTAATTTTTTAAGTCATACTACTGGTGGGTTATTGATGCTTGGTGTCATTTAATTGCTATGCTATTGCTATGTCATTACTAAATGTAGTGAATATTTTTCAAAATTACTAAAAATGAATTATTGATAGCTAAATTTGTATTACTTTATATGTATCACAAATGGAAAATGTTTGTTTGTTTTCTTTTCTTTTCTCAATTTTGAATTTCACTAATTATTTTTACTTTTATAAAAGTTAGAGGCAGAGTTTGTAAAACTTGAGGATGGTGTTTTTATTTTAATACACAGACTGAAAACAGCAGCAAATGGGCTAAGCAACTACTGGTGACAAATTTACACCTTCCATCCAACCACAAACCAACGACAAGCAGCTACAGAGACATCACTGGATTTGAAGCCTATTAGTATGGGTCTATTCTCGGGGGTGGAGGTTTGTCACAAAATGTTCTATGTTACTAAGACGCGTACCACTGTACCATGCAGTTCTATGGCCTATGACCGAGCTGGTGTGGAACGCCGGTCGAAGAGCCGGTGAAAATAGCTAGAGTCGAAGAAACAGCACAAATTCAACTATGAGACAATTTTGTGCAGCAATGTTCAGCAGTTTCTCAATAACTATCCCAAAGTACAGTTTTTGACCGTTGTTTTCACTGGTTGCGCCAGGCAGTGAAAATGCTAGGAAGTTTGCCTGCCAGCATAGATGGCAATGTGATGGCTGATTCAAACTCAAAATTATTTTTAAATGCATAAAATAATAATCTGAATTTATTTTTAAGTAAGTTAAAGCAGAATTGAAGACTATAAATCATCTTTTACATACTCTCATTATTATGGGTACCGGTTATTGTGCTATAGGATACTGTAGAATACTTTATTTTAGCTGGAATTAATTTTCGCTGAAAAGACTTTTTGTATGGAATATATTTTCATTGATTTTTGTAAAATATAGGGAAAAAACTATATTCGCTGGATTTTATTTTCACTGAATCTTTCCTTCAGTTGAATCTGTCCTTCAGCGAAAATTAATTCCAAGCGAAATTAAGGTATTTTACAGTACTACAATTGAAAAGAAAGGTGGGGTCACTGGAGATTATGATAAAAATTTGTATTTTTGCACGGATTGTTATGGTGAAAATATTATTTTCAGATGTCAAAAGCTATACATTTTTCAGTACCAAAACAAAAATTGTTAAAACATTTTAATTTAATTTAATTTAGTGAGTTTTCAACATGATAACAGTTTTCCATTATCATAAGTATCCTAATTTAAATGTTAGTTTCGAAACATTTCAATCTTTCCTGATGCCTAAATTATAGTTTACAATTTTCAAAGTCGCTGGCGCCAATTGAGGAACACAATGTTTTATTGTGACTAGCGTGAATGAGTAAACTCAATTTCGTCAATGAGCAGTTATCGCTTTGAAAAATTTTTCATGCAGGAGAGTCGTTATCATCTGCACAGACGACCATCGCATTTTGTCCCAAGTATCCGTAGACTACCCCTCCACTTTAAATACTTCTTAAACGCTCAGTTTATCTTTAAAAATTTCATGTTTTATGAAAAAAAAAAGACATTTCCAACTCAATGCAAAAAGATCATACAGCAATGTTAACAAAACATTTCAATTGAAAACTAAATCAATTTATTTTTTACAACGCTTACCTTGTTCACCCTCAATTGTATTTTTTCCAATTCTTCTTTGGTTTCATCTGAGACTCGTTTAGCTTTAGCCCGGGTTGTTTTGTCAATTACAGCCTGTGCGGGAGCATCTCCCCGGTCAAGTATAGATATCGACGAGCCAATCACAGGGCCCGCTGACATCCGGCGAGAAGTAGCACTCATTGTAAATTATCTACATAGAAAAAAAATCAAACAAAAAAAGTAAATGTTAAGAAGTTTTCATAATATTGAATTTCAATATTTTTGGAAGTCATATATGATTACTTTAGGGTGGTCCGTAAATATTATGATCTTGTTTGATGTTTTTCAAAAAGCAATCAACTTGGTGATGTCACTGTGCAATTTGGTGATGTCAATGAAATTAGTGATGTCACTATGCAACTTGGTGATGTCACTGTTCAATTTGGTGATGTCAATGAAACTTAGTGATGTCACTATGCAACTTGGTGATGTCACTGTGCAATTTAGTGATGTCACTGTGCAACTTAGTGATGTCACTGTGTAACTTGGTGATGACATTGTGAAAATGGGTGATGTCACTGTGCAATTTTGTGATGTCACTGTGCATCTGGGTGATGTCACTGCAACTTAATGATGTCACTGTGCAACTTAGTTGATGCCACTGTGCAACTTA